TCGATAGATATGAACAAATTTTATTTGTCAATACAATTATCTATTATATCATTTAGAATTCGATTTTGTAAGAAATATAAATTTGAAATCTAATAAATGAATCAATATTCTCTACAACTAGAAATCTTTAGTTGTTGATATTTTGATCAAGTTGAATATGAAATGTATTATCGGATTTTTTTCTTAGAATATTGATAATAAGTACAATCTTAATGTAAAGATTGTTTTGGTAATATTGGTTTGGTATGATAATGATCTTCTTTTTCTTTTTTTTGAGATATTCTTCTTCTATTTGAACAAGTTCTCGAGTCTCAAGTAGGATTTTCAACGTGTCGTCAATAAACCCAAAGAAAACGACAACATATTGTTGACATTCAATGTGCGAGCAAAAAGTTACTTGAGTGACACCGGAAATGTCTCTCATTTCGTATACAGTTTGGTAACGTCACTCTACCACAAACGTAGTCATACTTCTTGCCAAGTATGTTAATATACATTGGTTCGCCTGTTCTCGTTATTTCACTACTAATCTTCATTAAATCTTCTATATAGAATGTTTTTTTTTTTCTTCAAGCCGTTTTTTTGCTCGTGAATCTGTTAGTTACTTTTCACATCAGATTGCTATGCATACATCTAATAGCAGGAGAAAATATTATTCTTTGTTCATTACTTAGAACTCTAATGGACTGCACAACATTAACGTAATTCTGCGTCGGAAGTCAATTTTCTCTGCGTACCAGGGTGTGCGCATGTGCACAGACTTTGCTAATGTTTCCAAACACATGCACACCCATAAAGACATGCCAGAGGGAGATTGTTGGCGAAGAAAAGGAGAAAAAGCAAAAGAAAAAAAAAAAAGAGAGAAAGTCTGACATGACGAATCTAAAAAAAAACCGAGTCATCCAGTCATCAGACAGGAAATAAATGCTGATGCTTGAACTTTGTATAGTGAAGAAGAAAAAGAGAGATACAGGCACTGAATGAAGCGATGAGTGAAAAAAACCAAACGAAGAATGAGAGAGACAGAGACGCCTATTTCCGTTGTCGCTCAAAATTATTGAACAAAAATATTATAATGTACTACATAAGATCGAATTCTTTTATTTTTTGTTTTTAATCCATAAAGATTGAAAAAAAAGATTCCGGAAATTTTGACACAAAAAAACCAATATATTTAAGTGCAAAAAACAAAAAAAAATCTCATATAAAACGTTATTATTTCGTAATCTTCAAATAAATATAACACCCACCCAATCGTTCTTCTTTTTCTATATTATTTCTGTGTTCAACGAGAAACAGAACGAGCAGACATTCCATCTGCACCCAAACACGTAGATAGGCTCATCTCAATGAAGAATAACTATTATGATTGGTTAAAAAATTTCATTGGACGTGCGGGCATGCAGAAACACAAACATACATGTCATGATTTTTTTTATATGAGAACGAGAGAGAAAGAGAGAGAGAAAGAGAGACGGAAAGGCCTCAGTTCCTGCTTCCTTCTGCGCCTCATTCGTCATTGCTACTTCTACGTTATCGTCAACCTACACGAAGAAATATAGCGGCGACGGCAACGGAGATTCAATCTCTCTTAATCGGGCATTGCATTTCCGTAAAAGTTCTTTTCTACGTCGGTCGTCGACACAATTTCAAGGAAGTCCGGGACTTAAAGGCGTCCTCTCTTCTCGTCCGTCCCTCAACCACATATACGCATACTGCATAACAACATCTACACATCATGCTCACTGGTAAGCGACTCGCTCTATGTAAGGAAGCCAAGATTTCCGTCTGCCTTCAACTCGGTCCATGAGTTTATGCGCACGAACAGGAATCGAAGTTTTTCCGTTTTGAAAAAAGAAGAAGAAGGAAACGACAATGATGACATTGCCACTACTATTCGCTTCGTTCTAGTTATTATAACTAATATCGTTGATAGATATTTTTCGAGCCGCATTTCAAAAAAAAAAAAAAGAAGAAGGAAACAATGATACAACAATATGAGCACATCCGTTCATAGAGAAAAACGAAAAAGAGAAGAAGAAGAAAAAAGAAGAGAAAAATCTATCAGACAAACCGAGATTCTATAAAAAAAAATGGTGTAGAAAATATTTATATTCATTTTCTTGTTAACTAGTTGCAAAAACATTTTGAATATCGTTATATTGTATATATTGTCTAGAACCATCAAAGCATGCATGGACACCTATAGGCATTGGCGGTACGACAACATCGAATGTTTCCAATAGCAGTAAGTTTATTTTCTATTCAAAAAAACATGATAAAAAAAAGGATAACATTTGAGAAAAGTTTATTTGTCTTGACTCTTTAGCTTAGTTCAAGTGTCGATATAAGATTAGGGAGCTCTTGAAAGATTTACGCAAATAATTAGATAGATAGAAATAAAAACATAGCAAACTTTCTCTTGCTCACATATAAGTGCTTACTGGTACCGAATGTATTTAAGTGAAAAAAGTAAGCAAAACAAGCTGTCGATAAAAGTGACACATCTTTTGCGAGATTTTTTTTTCAGTCTTATTTAATCACACTTCAATATTTATTTAAATTAAATTCTATGAATTTGAGGAAAAAAAAATTATCGTAAAAAAAATAAAAACCATATATAATTTTAGTAATTTTTTAATAGATAATACAGTCATTCATGATTCTATATAATCAATTGTCATCTGTTCATAGATAGTTGTTAGACATTTATTTTCATTGTATGATGATTGACTATTGGTTTCTGCTCATTTTATTTTAATATTTGTGTATGGTAAAAATGAAGCAACGGGTGGGAGAAGAAAGAATAAAATGCCGCTCTTTTTTTGGTTCTTAATTATCAATCGTTTGTGTCCCTCCGACTAACTATATTGTGGTGGAAAGTCAACAATAATTGAATAAAATAATCTTTTTTCTTTTTCTTTTCCTAAATCAAATCGATTGACAATCAGAGAGTTGATTGTTAGAGTACTACATCATGTTCATTTAATTGTCCTTTTTTCTTTTTAGTTGGCTATCACACAACGGCAACTCCTTCATCTACATCATCGTCCAATTCATCTATCAATATTGGTGGTGATTCAAGAGTTAAAAATGATTATGATAATGGATCAGGACGTGGAAATGGAGGAAATGATTGTAACTCGAATACTGGTCATCACCAACAACAGTCGTCATCTTGGTCATCATTGGTTAAATCAGAATCATCACAAGGATTAAGAGGCAATATAGGAAATAATTTTTTTTGAAAAAATAAGATCTTTCTTGTTTTTTTTGTGTTTCTAGATCCTTATTCAACTTTTACAAGTCAATCATTTTTTCCTCACAATGTCCATCGATTCGGTGGAGGAGCTACTGGTAAATATTTTTTTTTGTTTTTTGTTTTTCTTCTAAATAATATTATAAAATATAATTTATATTTCTTTAGGTACAGGTCAAATACAATTGTGGCAATTTTTACTTGAACTTTTAGCTGATGCAAATGCAAATTCAAGTATTATTGCTTGGGAAGGTTCTAATGGTGAATTTAAATTAATTGATCCTGATGAAGTTGCACGTCGTTGGGGTGAACGAAAATCTAAACCAAATATGAATTATGATAAATTATCACGTGCATTACGTTATTATTATGATAAAAATATTATGACAAAAATTCATGGTAAACGTTATGCATATAAATTTGATTTCAATGGTTTACATCAATTAAATCAACCACAATTACCTGAATCACCTTATGCAAAATATCAACAAGAAATGATGCGTTCATCACATGCTCATGCGGCTTATTTTAAATGGAGTGCATTAAGTTCAGCAGCAGCAACATCATCCGCTGTTCATATGCCACATCATCATCATCATCATCATCATCCAGCAGCAGCTGCAGCTTCAACAGCTTATACAAACTATTGGGGTCATCCAAGTACATATGATTATGCAGCTAATTTTGCTACACCGAATCCATATTTATCATCACCATATTGGGTTAGTCCAACAGCAAGTACAACATCATCAACACTTACATCAACTGGAACAGGAGGACTATCATCAACACACACAGCATCTACTGCCATTTCTCCATCATTACCCTATTGAAACTAAAGACAAAAAAAAAATCTATTGTTCTGTTGTATATAATTTCTTTCTTTTTTTCGAGTGAATTAAAAAAGTCACACACCATTATCAACACGATGTCTTGGCGATAGTAGCATGAGGCACCTGGAAAGAAAACATCTGCATGTAAATGTGACAATGAATGTCTATCTAGTAAAATTCACTTAGCATGAATAATGATCGATCGTATGTATAAAGCTATCATTGTTGTTGTTGTTATTATTCCTGAGATGAACTTATTATAACTTTTTATTATTATTTTGCCTTCTGCTGCTTCATGTTTTTTATAATTGAATATGAAAAGTGTCGTTCATTTCCTTTTTTTTTCTTTTTCTGTCTATTCATTCACACCTTGCATAATGTTCATATTATTGAAAGATCAAAATTCAGTTTTAAGTCAAGTGCATCTTTTTATTTAATTGTTTCTTCGGTTTTTAACGGTGTAAACGACACGAACAAATAATGCGGTATGATTGAAGACGAAAAAAAAACAAAAAATACAAAAGAAAAGGATATGTTTCATTCTCGAAACAAATGCATTTTGCCGATGATAGAAATGTATAGAAAATGTTTAATGGATAACTTGAATCATCAAACGACGCACAAAACAAAAAAAAATGAAATAACAATTGCTATATCGTGTGCATTTTTCTTTTGCGTATTAAAACAGCTGGTGCGATATGTTACATATAAAGTCTAAACAATAGTTAATAGAATATTTTCAATGCCATACTTCTTTTCAGTTTTATCTGTGCTCTAAAACATACATTCATAAAATTATAAATTTTATAATGCATTTTTCAACTAGAATTTCGATATTATTCGTCGTAGTGTTTATTTCCGTAGTTCGAACGGATACACAATTCTATAACGACTATTTAGGTATGTAAATGAATAATATTCTTATCGATTTAATAAAAATCGAACCGACGGTGACAAAACGAAGTATTAGAAAATTTTAACATTTATTATATAGGAATAAACTGGTTTTTTTTCTTGTCATCATGAAATCATTCTAAATAATATATGTAAATAAGAATATTAAACAACTTTCACTTATACTAAGATGATTAACTAAGATAATTTTGTTTTTAGAAATTATTTTAAAAAACTCTTTATTAATTTTTAATTCTTATCTATTTAGAGGAACCTGTTGATGATGATACTGTGACTATGAAAACATCATTATCAATCAATTCATCAACGAAAATTTCGAATTCAACAGATCAACGTTCATCTTTATCTCCAATATTAACAGCTCTATCAACTAAATATACAACATCAACTGAAATAAACAATAACACGAGTCTTATTTTTGCAAATCAATCCACTTCATTGTCATTATCATCAACATCTGCTACAAGTCAAGAAATACCGATGACTGTAGCATCTAACATATTGGTTAGTTATCTTGTTGATCAATTTAATCAATATCGTGATATTGATATACTTTCTCGTATAAAACAATGTGATTCAAATATGACACTTAATGATATGTGTGAAACATATTCATTTGATAATCAAACTTATTCATTAATACGTGAATCAAATGTTGGATTTCAATCATTACAATATATTTATGATGCTCTTATTGATCGAAGTACTGTACAACAATTAAATACATTTTGTTCAACTGCTCAATGGTGTTTGACAAATTTAACAACATATAGTATACGTTTTACTGTTGATATTTTTCGACAACTTGGACATTCATTTTGTTCACTTGAAAGTTGTCATCATCGACTTCAGGCACATATAAAGGCATGTCCATCAAATGTGACTACGGTATACACATATAATAAAAATCAAAAAAATTTCTGATTAAATTTTTCTTTTTTCAATATAGAATATAAGTCAACCGACGCTAGCATTATTGCCAATGTTATGTACTCTTTATCAAGAACAACAGAGTTGGAATTCAACTGAATGTTCTAGGCAAGTTGTGTATCTTCTTCATATTCTTTATGCATTTTGGCCACAACTTGAAGTAATAATCATTTATTATATATATCAAAATTATTATTTGATTATTTATAGACATGTTATGCTGTGATTACTGCTGGTTCTGGTGGTTGCACGTATGAATGTCTAGCATTCGACTCTATTTTTCATGAAGTTGAAAATCAATGTAATGGAGAAACTTCATTTTTAACACGGTAAGTTAAACAAAATTTTCTATCAGTAAATTTATTTTATTTTTGACAATCAAAACAACAAAACTAACAAGAGTTCCTGCTTTGGCTTGGTATCAATCATTTAATTTACAACAAATGTGTCGTGATGAAATAATTGTAACAAAACCTCCATTTATATCTTCAGTAATTTAAATGAGTATATAAGATTGTATAAGTAATTTGAATATTTCAGGTAAAAAGTTTTATTTCTTCAAATATGATCTGGTATCGATTGCATCAAAGACCTGTTCATGCAGCTTTATTTATTATTGTTGTCATTTGTATTGTGATTAGTTTTTCTTTATGTCTATATTTTATGTCAAACAATATTTATGATTCAAATACTCGACGTTTTGATGATGATTATAAATATACACGATTACATGATTCAACATTTGACCTTGGTGCAAATACTGAAAGTATATACTGTTTTATTTATTTTATATATTATTTTAATTGATCTATTCTTAGTTTCAAATAGAAATTCAACATTAAGTGGAATAGAAGATGAATCACAATTGGATCTCAATGATAATCTTCATTCATTAGAACATCAACGATTATTGTAAATGGAATCATAGATAAAGACAGTTTTATTTTTTCTGTCTTATTTCGTATTTCTTTAATAATAAAGAACATCATTCTTTCTTTCATTATCTTAATATTATATTTTTCAATATGAATAATATCATAAATAATAAAAATGTATTTGAGTTGAGAAATTCTTGAAGAATTGACAAGTAATGTGATAATAGAATTGTATGTTGAAAGGGAGTGAAAGTAGAACGACGATAAAATTAATCGATTGCAATTGTATGGATTCGTTGAAGAAGGTTATACTTTTTTCGGTTGAAGTATGAAGAATATTCGATGATTTCTTTCATTTGAATTCAATCTTGATTTGCATAGTGAAATCAAAATGAAAACAAACTTTCATCACCTAACAGATCATTCTTTGTAGTGTTAACTATTACATTGGTAGAGGCTACTATGTAACGTACGCTTGACAATTTATGTTTTCTCTTTGTTGTATTGGGAGACTTTTACATTCTTTTTTTTTGCATCTTATCCTTCTACAAATACTTGAAGAGACGGGAAAGGAAAGAGAAAAAAAAACCAACAGTCTCTTAGTTACATTTTTTGCATTTTGTTACAGAATTTGTTTCAACATCAACAACAAACAATTATTTTTAGTAATAAGATTACTAACAATTGTCAATTATAGATTTCTTTTTCTTTTATTTGTAGATTAAAATGACAAGTAATAATGATTTTAATTCATTATTATCACAATTACAAGAACTTGAAAAATCAAAAAATTATTTAACTATTGGTAATACATTAGATCGTCGTTTTGATTCAAAAATGAATGATATTATTAGAAAATGGATATCAAATGATAGATTATCGAATGAAGAAAACCAATTTATTGATTTATATTCTAATCTTCAATTATATTTTGTTGAATATTGTTTTTTTGATTCACAATCAACAATAAATAATGAAGATATTATTGAATTATTTCGTACATGTTTATTTCGAGCAAAACAAATTGATGATTTAAAACAAGCTGTTATATTTATTCGTGATGAACAACCATCTAATGATAATATAAATGAAGAAGATGAAATGTTAATTTATCTTATGCGTATGCTTGATGCACGATCACTTGCATATCGATTATGTTTTAAAGAACTTACTCTACCTCCAAGAAATCTTAATAATGAACTTAATTTATGTCTTACTCATCTTCATGCTAAAAATTATTTATATAATATGAAATCAAATAATAATACAAATAAAAATATGTATATAAGTTATCGTCATCAATTTTTTATTGGATGTTGTACATTTGCTGTTGCATTATTTGATGAAAATAAACATAGTTTAAAAAATGATGATAATAAAAAATATATTTGTTTACTCGCAAAATATATTCGAATTGTATTAAATATAAAAGATTTCGAACAAAATAAATCATTTCTTTATTGTCTTCGTGGTATTCTTGCTTTACTTACTAATTGTGTTCCAACAGAAAATTGGATGCATATTATTAATAGAGCATTAGCAAATCCAAATGATGATGATGCGCAACAAGCAAATCCATTTAATATTGATCTATTTTCTTTAATAATTGTTCGATTATTAGGATCAAAAACTCTTCGCGATAAAGCAATACGATCTGATTCAAATGATATTATTTCATTAGTTGATGTAGCACTTATATTTCTTAATAAATGGTATGCTACATCAAGAGATCTGGATGATGATGATGATGATGGTGATGATGGAAATAATAATACATCTTCGTTATCGGATGAACCAAATCAAGTTCTTCGTTTATTGCGTTCGAGTATAGTGGTAGATGGGAAATTAACTACATTGGTAGATGAAAACTTGAATACATCACGAAAAACAAATCGTAATAAAGATCGACAATTAAATACATCTCAAATAATAATTCCTTATATTGATGCAAAATATGATCGTATTCGTTTAATGGCTATGTCAATATTATCAACTATAATGAATTATCAAGATTTTAAAGATTTACAAGAGAAAAAACCCAATATGGCTAAAGATATAGTAAAACTTATATTTGATTTTATTGATCGAGCAATTGCTCAAGGAACTCTTCAATATAGAGGAATATCATTCGAACTACTTCTTCGTTATTTACTTCGATTTCTTGTTCAAGATTTTGTTAAAAAACAAACGATTCCATATATACCAAAAATAATTACTTATGCAGAACAGCGTCATTTAAATGCACTTAAAATTCTTCGTAAAATTTCTTCATCACCAGATATGAAACAAGATTTAAGAAATAATTCCGAATTAAAAGAATTTTTAACAACTAAAGCTAATGCTTTATTTGCTAGTGATCCAAGAATGAAAAAAATTATCGAACAAATTCGTCAAAATCTTGCACCAGAACAACAAAGCGAGCCTTCAAGTAAAGAATATAATCTTTTTTTAAAACCGATTTTTTTTTTCGTTTGTTTTCTTTTTAAGCACCAATTGATACTACTAGTCGACAAGCATTTATTTCCTATTGTCATCGTGATAAATATCAATGTGATAAATTTGTTCAAGCATTACGTGAAGCCAAGCTTTTTACAAATATTTGGGTTGATACGAGTTATATGAAAGATGACATGGTTGATACAATAACAAGTGCTATTCGTCAATCGAAAGTTGTTTTTGTTCTTCTTAGTGATGAATATTGTAAATCTGATTTTTGTCGACGCGAATGGCAATTTACTATTACTAAAAAAATTAAAGTTTATCCTGTTTTTGTTCAAGAAGATTTTAAAAGAGAAGCTTTTGATTGGGTTGTATTCAATATTGGTCACAATCATTTTTATAAAATTTATAAAAATGATGAATTACAACGTTTAATTAAGAATTTACATAGTGATAGTGATGAACATCGAAAATTACCAAATAAAACAGTTCGTTTAAGTATATCACAAACATCAGTGCCAGAAACAATAGAAACTAATTCATTAAATAAAAACAAAAATTCGAAAAAAAAATCAATAGCTAATTGGACATCCCACGATATTCAAGATTGGTGTCGTAAAAACAACCTTGAAAAATGGTGTGAACCGTTAGCTCATTATCATGGTCAAGCTTTAATTGAACTAAGCAGAATTTTAGAGAATGATACAAATCTACAACATATTTCCAATGGACATGATATTACTGTGATGGATGTAGTTCTATTTAAATGTGAACTCCGTAAATTATTATTACAAAGAAAAACAAGACGTAAACAACCCAAGAAAAAAAACGTAATAGAACATCATTCCACAAACATATCAACTAAATAAATGTAGTAAATCTTTGACTTATTTTTTATTTTTTTTTCAAGAACATGTAATAAAATAAAAAAAAAAAGATAAATGAAATTTTAAAGTATAGTTAGAGAACCGATTCAATTGCTTTTGTAATTTCTTCATCCAATGGTTTAACTCGACTATTCCAAGCAGCAACAAGATGACCTTGTCGATCAATAAGATATTTATGAAAATTCCATTTAGGTAATACATCATTTCCACCAGCATCAATAATCCATTGAAATACTTCACTTGGTTTATCTTTATCTTGTTTGGTTGTTAAAGGAAATGTCGTTTTAAATTTACTTGAATATAATGAACATACTTGTGGTTCATCACCTGGTTCTTGTTTACCAAAATTATTACAGGGTACACCCTAGACAAAAAAAGAACAGAAATGTTTTTTAGATCGTCTTTGATTCTATTCAAGTTTTCAAATCAATTTAAAATAAATTTAAATACAAGGTGAAGAAAAAAAAAGATTCATACCAATACAGTAAAGCCTCTATCTTTATATTTATCATGTAATTCTTGTAATGTATGTAATTGAGGTGTATATCCACATTCACTAGCTGTATTAACAAGTAAAATAACTTTGCTACGTAATTCATTCATATCTAATGGTTGACCTTTGATATCAGTAAATTGACGCTCATAAAATGAAGGTCGACTTGCTGGATCATTAATATGTGTTTGACGAGCAGAAAATAGTGATTTACCAAATTGTAATAAAGTAGCCATGTGTTGTCGTCCTTTTGAATTCAATAAAATAGCACCAGCTAAAAAGAAAATGGAGAAGACGATTATGTTACTTGTCTTAAAAGACATTATTTTTGTGTGCTAAGAAAAGAGCAGTAGAGAGCAACAATAACGAACTAGAAATAAATATATAAGATCTAGATATCAAGAAAAGGTAAAAACAAATGATGATGCAAAAATTTGTCTAGTGTCGTACAAAGTCAAAGTAGATGATAGTGTAGAAAGAGCGAGGATTGAATAAAATTATACCGATTGGTTGTTTCTAAAAGATGCTCAGATGGCGTTAGTTAACAATGACAGTTTCTTTTTTTTTCAATGATATTAATAAGATAAATAAGTGATTTGAAGTAATTATAATATGTACGTTAACATCTGCATTAGTAAAATATTCTAAAGCATAAAAACATCTTCATACTATTCGAATATTATTTCCTATATGTCTAAGATATTGTTTCATGTTTTTTACTGTTTTGTCAGGTGTTGATGATTATTCAATAATCTCAAATATCTATATCAATATAAATTGAAGATACATTTGTTGATATTAGTTGTGAAACTAGAGTAGGAATAGATCATGCGCTGTTCAACAACCAAAACTGTTCGTTCAACTACTCAGAAATTTAAAAGCGAAACTCTATCCTAGACGGATGAGAAAAAAATAAAGGCAAAACATTCGTATATTTTTCTCAATTGTAGCCTATACTAATTCGATCAGGTGATGGATGCAATGTCAACTATAATTTAGTTCTCCAACAAACGCGACTTCTGTTACTTGAGCAAAAAACTGATAGATTGTCTTCTTATCAATGAATAAGTTGCTTAGTCATTCATGTCACAACATAGGATTGAACAGAATATTTACGAAATCAAGTAAAAAAAAAAGTAAAACTTTTCATTGAAATTCAATTAAACGATAATGAACCAATATGTAATTAGTACCATTCAGTTGTGTTTCGGATAGTGCTTGACAAAAAAGTGAATAAGCTTCTCGAAATGTTGTCCTCATCATTGCTATTGACAATTGTAGCTCAACAAATGTTTTATTCCTGCAGAAACTAGTCTTTCTACAGATGAATCTCTAATTCAATCGCATTAATTTTCGAGTAAAACAAATGAAGATAATAGATCGCTTCGTTCATAATCGTAAATAATATTTTTCATCATTGGTAGATTCGGTAGAAAAAAAAACTCTTTCTATTTCTATTACTGCCTCTATTTGCACAGCGTGTTTTATTTACCAAATATAGAAAGTAAAGTTTACTGGTTATGTAGATAGACGGGTTTTTCTTCTCTAATTTCTCTCACCATTGATAATTAGTAATAATCGTATGCTGTTTTCGAATTATCCGTAATTTTAAATATACAATGGTGCATAAGTCGTTGATTTTAATAACTAAAGATGTTTCAATGGAAAATCAAAGTTTTTCTAGGCGAATACTACACTTTGCGCACACAGACACATTTAAATTACAAAGCTAATTTGGCTTACAAATAGTTAAACAACGGTAGTAGATGTTCTTGATAAAACATGCGTTAAAGCGCCTAAAAACGATCCATTAACTCTCTAAGTAAATTTCGTCGACATTGTAATTCTACTTATACCAATTAATTTTTTTAGGTAATCACCAAAGAAAGCAAATTATGAGTTAATTAGATACAATCCGAATTCATAAATATTTCCGGTTCCTAATTGAAATCTAATGATCATGATAGCTTTATTAAAAATTTAAAATAGCCTGTCATGACTGTTCTACAAAATAGTTTCATACTTGTAGATATTGATGTTGATGCTATATATCTATGAATGATGAATGAAATGAATGTAGCATAGTTTTCAAATTGGTTCTTGAGAAAAATACAATATTATCATCTTTTTGACAACGAAGAAACAATCTATTTATTCTAAACTTTCTTTTAAAAAGTTTTAAGGCACCGCCATCCATCTAACCTTTTCCGGTTACATGTCACTAGTGGTAATGGAAAAAGTTGCAAGGTATATCAAGTAGTTTTCAAATTTTCTAGTTAATAATATACAAATAATGCTCGTCGTTACAACTCGCTTGACTCTCAACTGTATGTTCAACTCTTTCTATATAACTTATGGCGTTACAAGCCCAATCGACACTAATATCAAATATATGATAATTTGTTTTTTGTTCTTGTGCACTGTTGGTGCGAAATACTTAAGAACATATTAAGAAGCTACCTAAAAATAGGCGAAAAAATTAAAATTTTTTTTTATGCCGTAAGCCTTACGCTCCATATTAAAATGATCTACAGACACTGAATAAATAGTTTTGTAGATCGTGTTTTGCGCCATCTTTTGGTGTATTAAACATTTTTATTCAGTGGACAGTTTTATAGAAAATCTTAACATACTCTGCGGATAGCGAAAAACTGACATTTTTTGAGTGTCAAGTGAGACGTGATTGATGCGAGTTTCATAACTTCTGAAAGAATAAATAGAAGGAGCAGAAACTTTGGATTTAGTAGTTTCTGATCATGGGCTTTCGCTTCCAGTCATAAAAAGTATAGGTCAAAAATTTGAAGAGTACCCAAGCAGTCAGAAAAGTGAAATTGACGCGTTAAAACGGCCCTTTTGCATTTTGTCTTTAAATGCATTTTACACAGTCAAAAATGTCCGAATTTTGGCGTTTTGACGATCGCATTTCTTAAAGATTTCACATCGTTAAAATGGTAGAAGAGACACATAGTTAAAACGCATTTCTGAGATCAACAGGGTAAAACGTGTAATTTCGGGCATTTTTAACTGTGTAAAATGCGTCTAAAAGTTATCTCTGTTTTCAGCAAAATATAGGAAATAAATTTAGAAAAAGATTTGAGCTTGACCGTATCTATGGTTCCGTTCTCTCTTTCTGCTCTTGAATTTTTTTCGTTATAATTTTGATAGAATGCTAATCTCCAATGATATCCTGTTAGAAGTTATTATTAGAGCTCACACTAGCCCTCACACGAGCTGCCTTTTCGTTACGATAGCCCTGTCAGAACGGTACGAAAGCTGTGTAAAAATCCATACGAAAGCTCTGTAAAATCGACAGAAAGGCTCTGTAGAAATGATACGAAAGCCCTGTCAAAACGTATACGAAAGCTCTGTAAAAACGATACGAAAGCCCTGTAAAGTTTTGATACGAAAGCCCTGTCAAAATTTGATACGAAAGCCCTGCTTTTTTATGAATTTTTACAGGGCTTTCGTAACCTACCGTTACGAATCGTTACGTTCCCTTAATTCCACAGTTTTGAAATAAAAATACATCTTTCGTTAATTGGTGATGGTTGGGCTGAGTCCAACTATGTCCTACCCTGGTTCGCCACTAATTCTTCTGGTTTTATAGAGAATAATAACAGAGAACAAGTTTCAAAGGCGAGTAGTCGTCTTCTCGGTCGTGCGACATGTATGAATGTTGTTGTCATCCCTATGTCTCAATGACTCTCTCGGTAGTTGTACAGGTCATGCACACCTTTCATTCATATGTATTGCTATGCTCTGTAGCGATCACAAAATTCGTGTATGATCAGTCTATCCATTAATAGACCGTCAGAGACATGTAGTACCATCCTCGCTCTGTCCTTGAGAGAAAGGTGCACGCACACTGGCCACTTCTATCTCCAATAAAACTGCGTCTTTTGTTATACTAAGCGACAATATGATAATGTCGATTGAACATCGATACGCCACGAAAGACCATTCGCACTGGCAGCTATAAGACTCTGACTATGAGATGGCTCAGCTTCAGCTACACTGTGTCGCTGAGCAAAGGTTCGAAATTTTCAACAGTAACCGTATTCTAGAGAAGCACTATTTTACGTATCTTAAGTTCTGCATATGCACCCCACATAAATTGAAGCCACACATGCATAGTTTAGTCTAAGTATAACGCACTTTGGATTGGACTTGAGGTAAATAAAACATTTTCTGGAGTTCTGAGAGCTTCCTGTCGATGTCGAACTCTAACTCAGTATCGCTAATTAGTTTTTTCGATGTTTCTGAGAATCTATTCATATGAAAAATAAGAAAAGAAGGAAAAGAAGGATTTTAGGCGTAAAGAAGGACGAAGAAGGACACTCTAAAAAAAGAAGGAAAAAAGAAGGAAAGAAGGACCGCTGCGAGGCCTGTATATTTAAAAAAACAACTACTACAGATGCTAATAATAATATAATCAGATTATATGTTTAAATAATAATATTAACATAAATTATAATAGAACAAAAATAGTTAATGATAATACTGATACTCATTATAATAATAGCACTATTTAACAGAAGATCAATAAAAATACTAACATCAATATCTGTAATCATATTAATCAGAACTATACATATAATAATAAAATTAATACCATGCATAAATATATCAGTAGAAATTGTGAAAAACTTATATTTATATGAAGCATTATTATCCTTAATAGCTTTTGTTGCTCAATAAATTTCCTTCCATTTGATTTATTTTTATTTTAATATGGACAAGTCCTATAGGTTTTCAATTCAATATAGTGTTCATTTCCAACAACATCTCTTGCCATACATACATTATTAATAGTGAAGATGGATTAGGAAGATCTCAAATTTTAACACACACAGATAAATTGTTCATAATTTCTATTAATACATTTTTCCCTGTTATTACTTTATTTATCATCATTATTTGTATCATTAATGTTATTATTGGTATTGGTGTTAATGTTACTAAAAGTATTGATGCTAGTATTATTATTCATATGTAAAGATAGTGTTATTATTATGCACATTGCTATTATCATCAGTTATTAATGTTATGTAATGCTACATGTTAACAATACTCTTGAACCATATCGGCTCATTGTATCGTTATAAGTATCTGTAGCAGTGTTGATGTTCAATAGATATTTTTTATTTCATTTATTTTGGTTTCATACGTACAAGTGCTAAGATCTTCTATTGGATGAAGGTTCCAATGAAATTCAACACCAATCTTTCCACATCAT